CATGGACAGTGGTTTTGTAACTTAACCAGGTTATTAAAATAAGGTGATCTGTGGTTTCATCTATGACTATAGCAAATATATTTTAATAGGCAGGGGTTTCATTTTTCAAATTACCCCTTTAAAGGGAAATATTCACACTCAATTATTGTGCTGACACATAAAGTGGACAAACATATGATCTGATAATGGAACGGCAAATTACAATCTGTGCAGGGTACAGGATGCGGAACCACAGCCCCATCCGAACCTGACCATGCCGCCTGATTAAGTTCTTAGGGGGCAGTTTGGTAAGGGGCCCCCTTCCTGATCTGATAACTGCCACGGAGAAGCCAAATGCAGAGTCAATCTGCACATACTTAATCCTCCAGAAGGCAGATTAAGTGTATAATTGACCTATATAATCCATGTATCATCTCCAGGCAAATGTTCCCTGGGCCCGGTTCACAATGACAAGGCCTGAAGGAAGCCACTGGGGCTGTGGACTCTGTCCAAGTGTGGGATGGCTTTTTAATCACTCGTCTCTGAGCCGGTGAGGTTTAAGCAGATGAATTCACCCTAAGCATATCTCTTTTAATCCCGATTTTCTTCTCAGGCTGTATCTTCAAGAAGTACGAGGAGGAAAGAAAATAAATTAATTTTTGTTTAGGCCTTGAAATCTTAGGTGCTTCTCTTGACGATCTGATCTCTAATTTCAAAAAGCATGTTTTTGTTTTGGGGAAGATGTTGAATTAATCACCAGAGAAGGGGGAAGCCATCTGCATAATTTATGGACACTCGAGCTTTAAATCACTGCCTTGGAGGTATTTCTTGGGCTGTGCTTTCCTTCTCAGTTGCTGCTTTAGGAATATGGAGATTATTTCATATCCATCTTTTATATTTTCTTTAAAAGTCAGCAATAATTTTCAAGGAGGCCAAGCTTCCACTTGAGTCCAACAGCAATCTGATTCTCTTTTAAAAATTCAGCATCTTTAATATAATTTAAATTCATTGCTATTGCACACACTCTCTTCCTTTACTGAATCTTTTGTTTCAAAATTATTACAAACTGTTATTTTGCAGTAAATAAACCAGTTTACAATTGCATATCATTGTTGTAGAAAAAAATGACCAAAATGCAGATAAAAAATGTATAGCTAGCTGCATGTCTAACATACTATAGGAAACAACATGAGGATTCTTTTCCAACCAGCACTTTATTTTGGACCAGTTAGCTTTTTTTAAGGGCATCACCCCAAAAGTTGATAATATTTTATAGAAGGACTATGTAAATTAATTATATTGACAAATGGGGAAAGTTTTACTACATTAAAAAGACCTGGGTAGGCAGTGTTATGTCTGAAAATATTTTTTCAATAAATCTAGAGAACGCCTGTTTTAAAAAAAAAACTGGTTAACATGAATTTGGAGAGCTGCTCCTCAGTTATATAATAAGGTAGATAAAGATGCAGAACATCAAACTGAGAGCCCCAAATGCTACACCGATAATCTCCCACAGGCACCCAGTTCCAGCCAAAAGTGCACTGACAAGGCAGAGAGAAAACCAGCTCAGAGAGAGTGCTGAGATAGAGGCCTGGTCAACATGAAAGATGCACTCATTAAATGACCAACTATTAGTCCAAATGTCCTCAAATACAAACACACACTAATGCCATCCAGCCTTTTCGACAAGGCACATTCAAAAAGGAAAAAAAACAAAAAAGGAGGGGGTTGGGGGAGGACAATACTAAACAGCAAGAACTTAAAGAGCTTATCAGGTAAATAAACGTAAGACTTTGAAACACAGCTAAAAACACAACAGGGACTCTGAGAACATGCCTCTAAATGACAGATGCCAGCAGGAACTAAAAACAAGAGAGTGACACAACAGTCAGAAATCAACAACCCCCAAACAGCAAACAATCTCAAGAGATATAGATTTTTTTCTTCATTCAAAATGCTAATTTTCTATTATTCATTTTTGCCATTTATCAAAATGCAACAATTTGGAAGAGAAACCTCTTCAGATCAACAAGTTTTTCTCAATAGATTTCTGCCAATTGTTTAGAAACCTGCCCGAGGACCCCTATCATTAAGACATGGAGTTGACAAAACAAGTTCACTGCAGCAAGAAATTTAGAGTGGCAGGTTTCACAGGTCCTTCTGCCTTAATATTCCTGTTCTCTTATTCAGCTCGGTGGACACCAGAGCCGTGCAGTGCATATATGCAAAGAAATAAACACCATGCTTGAGGAAACAGAAGCCAAAAATAATCAAACATGTTGGTAATCTGATGTTTTGCTGCTAGATTATAGAAAAACAGTAAGTACTGAATCAAATTACTGAGATGGCATGGTAATGAAGTTTTTTGAGACGCTCTGGGTTTTTTCAAATGACAAATGTTTTAAATCCACGACAGATTCAATAACTTTTTTTGCATTACATCAGTTAGGTTGCCTAGCACCAATATTCTGTAAATTAGGGGAGTAGGTTATTTGAAAAGTAAGAAAGTAAATGGCAAAGAAATTCGTTATCTCTAAATACGCTANTAAGAAAGTAAATGGCAAAGAAATTCGTTATCTCTAAATACGCTATTGAACAAATTGTTTTCCACGGGGCGGCGGGGGTAGGGGGGTGGGGGACGTTCAGTAAATGATTGTAATAGTTAAGTCTTTAAAATCTAATAATCAGGGGACTGTAATTAAGATTCCCTTAAGAAAATGTAACTGGGATAACATAAGACTAAATGATGGGGGTTGTCACAATGTTTCTGATGCCATTTTAGGCTGGTCAGTGTAGTTCAACAAGGAACTGAAATTCTTGTAAATTTCTGAATTACCCTAAACATAATTTGCTTTCTGAAAAACATATTGTTAGTACTCTTTCTTCATATTATTAATTCCCATTAAGGCCAGGGGGCTCGAGTCTGCCTGTGCTCTGCAACAGTCGGACATGTCTAGTTTTACCATCTGTGCTGGCCCAGGCTGTACTCTTAAGATGTTTGAAATAAAGATGCAATTGCACTTTCCCTGTAAAAATGTCACAGAAGAGGACAATTTGCCTTGCTGCCTTCAACCAGGCGACTTTAAAAACAATTCCCCTTGTACTTCTAATTAAAAAAAAAGAAAGAGGGAAGGATAGGTTATTTGTGCATGGAGCGACAGGCTAACCTGCAGATTAAACACCAAATTTAGTACTAGATGTTTTAGGTCTGAGAGAGCAGGTTATTCGCACACACGCTCACATAGGAACATACACGCACACGCACGCAGGGGCCACACAAAATTGAGAATCAGAAGATATTGATCAAAGGAAAAAAAAAAGGCAACGTAGGCATTGAAAAGAACAATCCACAGGCTTCTTGAAAATTTGTGGTTTGGTATTGAATTCAGTGGAGATGGGCAGTGTGCACACTCCTAGCAGACCCGAGGGTGCCGCCTGGCTCTGTTTTCAATGCCTATTGGATGGGTGATCGTGGCCCAGACAGTCTAGGCTCAGTACTCTGATAAAGGCACGCATGCAGAGAAGGGACGGGACCCGCTGGTGAGCTTTATGCATGTATGAGGCATTCTCAGTGGATGTGGGTCATGCTAGAAGATGTACACAGGAAGATTATTTGATTCTAATTCATGCCACTTGATATAATGTGATAAAACATTTGACATGAGAGATAAGTTCCATTTTAATCTGAGAGGGGACGGGTGGGAATTAAAAAGTGAGAAGGGTTTTCTCAAAGGAAGGTGATGCAGAGGAAAGAGCGATATTGAGCACAGAAAGGGGATGGTTGGGAAAGAAAAAAAAAAAAGAAAGGAGCCTTTTCAACACACGAGGAAAGCAAATGGGCTGGAAGACAAAGCGTATAAAAGTCAGAAGCTGCAATGTCCTAAGCGGTGCCAACAATGAGCTCACTTAGCTGTGGAACAAAAACACACATACACACAAACTCAATGTAAATTGCTGAACACAATCACAGAAGAAAAAAAAAATAGAAACACGGATTCCATAGTAGACCAAAACATTGATGTTCGGGCTGGCACTCAAAATCCGGGAACCTGGACAGGAGGAGCTCACGCTTCACGAGACAGAAGTAGGCTGCACGATGAAAGCCACAGGGAGACAAGGACGCCAGCTTCCGTGCACTCTGGCCGGGTCTACATTGGCAAACTCGGTGAAAACTTGAAGCAAAATGTCGCGCTAAATTACGCAGCCCCATCTACTTTGGCCTGAAAGAGGTGGGGGCGATTTGAAACCTAAACGGATTCCTTTTTTTTTTCTTTTTGCCTCAGTGGCTTGCTTTGGAAGTGCAGCTGTATAGTACAGTGGACATAAGACTGCTCAGTAACTGTTTAACCCTTGGAAATCGGAGAGTTCTGAAGTTCAGCCTAGGTCTGGCAGCCTGATGTACTTGCTCTTGGGGCACTTGCTTCTTTTCCCCAATTTTCAGGTGGCTAGGTGGGCAGGGGGCACCTTTGTTTAGGACAACTGACCCAGCAGCTCTAATATAAGTGTTTGCCAAAACCCAGGGCTAAGTGAGGATCTCTAGCCTTCCAGAAACGGGATCCTCTTTGAAACAATAACAATGCAACATTTATGCACATCTGTAAGCCAAAGCTGGCGTCAGGGCGGTACCACCCCCCGGAGAGGGAGCCTCTGCATCCCCATGAGAATATCTCCCTAAAGCAAGGCCAGATTGCAAGGAGGAGAATCATGACCAAGAAAGGTCTTTGCCAGTTAGAGAAAGCTGCCTCGGAAGCTGCGTGCAGGGACGAGCCTGCTCGCTGAGAGGCTGTACGCCGTCCTACGTGTCATAACAGACTGGGACTGAGACCCGGCCACACCAGAGTGGGTTCAGAACAGACACACGACAGATAAGAGCCTAAGGCAGAGGGAGAGGAAAAGATTTTGTTGTTTGAATAGGGACCAATCCATGTTCTCAAAATGTGACTTATCCTCCTGTCTATTATTTTGTCACATTTTGGAGGCTCTCCTCCTTGGTCTTCAAGGAGGAGAAGGCATTTACTTACATCAAATAACCTTTCTATATACATCTCCTCATTGACCTTATCACGAAGGACATCCTGAGAGTGGCGGACGAAAGTCACATAGGCGTCGGCCACGTCCATCCCGGGTTTCTGCAAAGAAAGAGGAAAACATAAAAATGGAATTTTCAGACAATGACTCCTCCTTAATTACCCACGCATTTCACTCTGCCCACCCCACCCCATGTTGCCTTGCTGGAGTTTGAAGCTATCCACAGTATACAGTTTAGCTATCCATAACCTGGATTGGTAGGAACTGATGTTGGAACCGTCTGCTTTTTCTGGAAATCAAAACTGGCTAAGCAGGGAGTTAGGATTACAAGGGTTTATAGATATTTTTCTACGATTAAGCTTTTTTTCTGGCAAAGATACTCTAATGAACAAATATTCACTGGATAACCCAGAGACATTGTCTGGCTTTCCTTTGGATCGAACCCCCCATTTAAAAATACCCAAACATACTTCCATATCTTCCACTGTCTGTCCTTAATATAACATTAGAAAGGTGACAGCCTTCCCTGATCCTCTTTTCCTTTTTAAAACCTTGAGAATATGCTAACTAAAGAAATCATAGTTCAAGCTACACCCCCATCTACCCAAGTCACACTTTTGGGGGTAATAACCTGAGTATGCAGTATTTCCTAATCAATTCATTCAGAGGAGACAGTCAACTATTTGTCTTTGCTTCCCTGTGCGGCCTTATAGTCCAAGGATTTAAAAAAGGGGGGAGGGGGATGGATTTGATTTTTAAATAAATTAGATTTCTGGAAAGGTAAGCAGGTGGTTCATCCAGTAGTTAGGAAATGATTTATTGTAAGGGGAGGTGGGGGGAAGAAACTCGGAATGCACACTGCTTGAGATGTTGCAATCAGTTATCTCCAAAGAAACCTATTAAAACACTGTAATATGGGTCATTAGGAGAGCTGCCACAAATCCCTTAAATTTCCACAGTAGATATGTATGTTTGCTAATAGCTACAAATATTAGTTTTCATTACTGTGATTTACCTTAGATCACAAAGTATCATTTCTCTACAAGCCGTGACTGTCAGGCACTGCAAATTGAAGTTAGTTAACACTTCTGTGTAATTTCCAGGGTGAAAATGAGGAAGGTTCGGAAACAGTAGGACTGTATTTTTTTTTTTCCTGATACAAAGCAAACAATTATCAAGCAAAGGGCCAATGCTTGGCCCCTGGGTCGCTAGTAACATTTCTTAACACCTGCTGAAACAATGACAAGGTATTAATTTGAAAAACAATGAGGACAGCCCAACGCCACAGTAGTCAACTGTTACACTTTCAAGCAATTTTCAGCAAATGGATTGAGCAGGTTCTGTGATGCTTCTATCATTGTTGCAGTTTTATGATACAAAACAATAAGGTTCTCCAGTGATAGCTATCAGTTCTAAATTGGCACCTTTCTCCTTCTCTCCCTTTGGCAGTCTCACATCAAAGGGCATTCCCCGTGGAGATAGGGACCCCTACTCCCTAGAGGGACTTGAGAAATTTATTATTATTGTTTCCATTCTTCCCTGGTGATGCTTGTGGCCTACGTGGCTTTTTCCTGGACACATGCAGCCATCTTGGAGCTAAGACCCAAAGCCAAATTTCGCAGACCTATTAGTAACCCACAATGTTAGCAACAGTGATGTACAATAATGATTATTTTCACCACTCTTTACTAAATTTTCTGTCCTCAAAGGGGCACTTAAGTTTTTAAAACTTTGATTAAAAAGGAAAAACAGTATGGTTCATCTCTCGCAGATAGTTCAGAAACCACGATTCTCTGTCTTTTGACTCTGCTTAATTTTTCTTCCTAGCACTTACCGATATCTGACATTGTACTATATATTTATTGGTTGGTTTTTTTGTCTGTCTTAGCCTACTAGAACACAAGCTCCACGAATGCAGGGACTTCATTTAGTCTTTTTCTCTTGTATCCTGAGCACATAGAACAATGCCTGGCACATAGTAGGTACTCAGTAAATATTTGCTGACTGAAGGAGTCCATGAATGAATAAGCCCTCACCTAATCCCACCTCTTTTTTAAAGTTCTTTAGTCACACTACAGTAGGTCCTCGAATAACAAATAATGTTGATGAGATGCCCTAAGAACGTGACTGTTGTTTACATCAGTTAGCCTATGATAAAATTGGTTTCCTTATGCTTCACTTTCGCTTAAAGTCGCAGTTTCCGAAAACTTATCCAGGATGTTAAGTGGGGACTCCCTTATTGTACATTGATTTTGATTGGATCCTCCATAAATAAACTTGTGAAAATCATTTAAATTTCTCTGGGCCTTAGTTATACCACCTGTAAAAATGGGATTAATAATAGCTCTCTCCTTACCTTTAAGAATTGTTATGATCATAAGCTAAAATAACGTATGTGAAAAATGCCTTAAAAGCTATATGTTACTATGTAAACATGAGCCACTATGATCTGATCCCCTCCCCCATATTATGTTACTTCATAACCTCACCTACCTTTGAAACCTACTTTAGAACCAAGAAGATAAAGGGGACCTCAGAGAAAACAACATCAAAATCAAAACAAGAAAGTCACTGCACAAAAATGTGTAGTTTTCTCTTAACAGAGCCGTAAGGCCGCCTCTCACAACCACCTTCCTTTAACCAGCTTTACATCTCACTCCAAGTTAGCTCTCCATCCTTTGTGGGCCAGCGACAGGGAAGGGGGCCTTGTTTGAAACAGGTGTATTGATAAAAGAGTGTTACCACTTTTCCTGATGGCTCCAGTGTGAGGGAGAAGGCTGCCAAACTGTAGCAACAAGACTTTAGAGCCACCCATAGCTGGAGTCTGGGAGAGGCAGGCTGGCCCTGCACCCCGGGAGGACCTGGGGGGAGTGGTCACTGGGAAAAGTTACTGTCACAGTGGCGATCCTCCGTCATGGAGAAAAGGCTAAAGCATGGCCAGTTCCCTAGTTAACAAGGAAGGGGAGGGTGTGTAACACATTTTAAGTGGATTTCCAACCAAAATGGTTAAAATAAAAACTGTTCACACATAAACAAGCTAACTTGTAGTTATAGATGGAAAATGTTCTTGGCTGAACAACTGATTCTATTAGATAAATCAGGCTGTATACCACATTGTTATCTACAAACAGTGGGAAAAACTTTAGGCAATGGTTTTTAATATCGCATAGTTACATTGTTTACTTTAAGCATGGCTTGGGCAGACAGAATAGGATGTATATTTTAGAAAAAATATGATACAAACAACAAATAAATAAATCTCTGTGTAGTTATTAAGTCCATCCACACATGGAAGACACCATTTGTGAGGGAGCCACTCTGTGGCTTAGGAGAAATAGGACATTTTAATTGTAGCTTGCTCCTACCAGGACACTTCTGAGCTGCAGAAATAAATTCAGATTTTCAGTATCCTAAGTAAGCCCTACTTAGGAATGCAACTCTGCTACGGATACCAAAGGGTCGAATACTACATCTAAGACAAAGAGATATGCTTTGGGGATTATGCAACGTTTTGAATGGCTGGTAACAGTGCTTCTCTCCATTAGTGAGGATAATTAAGAGACAAGTCTCTAAGGTAACTAACTACTAGTTTCCACATAGAACTAAACCAATAAATCATGTGCCAAAACCTCACACAGCAACCTAAATGAACTCAGACTCTTTAGAGCCAGAAATAACTTGAATGATGGTTTAATCCAATGGTTCTTAAACCTGGTTGAAAATGAGAAGGACCTGGAGAACTTTAAAAAGTTCTGATGCTTTAGATCTCACGCTCCAGAAATTGTTTTAATTTGGCAAGCAACCTGGCACTAATAGGTGCAGAAAGCCCCCCAGGTGTTTCCAGTATGTACCCAAGGCTGAGAATCACTGACTGAGTGCATTGGTTCCCAGACTTGCCCTACATGTCCAAATGATGCAGAGAGCGTTTTAGAAAGAGATTTCCAGGCTGCATCGCAGAAGTACTCTGGAGGCAGAGTCTCTGGAGGCAAGGGGCTGGAAATCTGTATTAAATCAAATCGAATCAAATCAAATCAAATCAAATCAAAACAAAACAATCCAAAAAACCTTGTCAAATATTACCTCTGCACATTCTAGTTTGAGGACCATTGGTTCAATAGGTGATAGTGCCTGGTGTGCTAGTAAATCTGGATCTTCAAAACAAGAGCAACAAAACAAGATAAACAAAAAACCTTGATTTGTAGTGCCTGCCAATTTCCATGGTGTAAATACTCTCTCTGTGGCTGAGTTTGAGCTACCAAGGAGCCCTCACTGAAGGCACCGTTGCAAAGAAATGCACACAGGTGACTCTTGGGAGCCAGTGCCAGCACGCAATCTGCTAGTCCTCGAATGTCCTCTCTCCCCCTTATTGCCAGGAGACGTTGGACATGCTACTTAACTTCCCAGTTTCCTTGGCTGTGAAACAGGATGAGAATATTAACCCTCTCATAGGGTTGTTTTGAGAAGTAATTAATTACTATAATCTACTACATATAAACATATACATATAGTACATACATGTATTATGTACTATTATTTTCTCTAAACTTATTTGTTTACTAAAACATTAATTATGTTGTTATTACTATAATAGTATTTGCTGTAAAGTATACTTTAATCGACTTAATTTTACAGTTTAGCTTTGTCCTAAGCCATAATCCTTGGTGAAATCATGGGTTTGATGTGCTAATCATAGTTTTTCAAATACTAAAATCATTACTCGATTATCCAAATAAAGATGTTTGTCTCTTCACTAACATCATCTTGCAGATGGTATCGTGTTTAAGAGCATTGGGCTAAAGCTCAGCTCTGCCACTTACCAACTGTGGGACCCTGAGCAAGCAAACCTGCCTGGGCCTCAGTTTCCTCATCTTTAAAGTAGGGTTGTTGTGAAGATTAAACATAAAATGCTTAGAACAGTGCCCGACACACAGTGAGCGCTTCTTCATAAGGTCTGGCTGCGGTTGTCATCGTACTGTGCATCATCAGTGCTAAAGGCGCCACCTTTTGGGACCTTCCGCATCATTTTCTTCTGCGGCCCTACAGAGTGGAAACTCTGCTAATTCCTTTTTTTTTTTTTTAAAGATTTTTATTGGGGAATTGGGGGTTGGGAACAGTGCTGGGGAATTGGGGGAAGGGAAACAGACAAGTTGCTGTTGTTTTGTTCTTCAGCCTAGTTGTGGAGGACGTTGCTTCACTGGCCCAAGTTGGCACCATCATTGCGCTCTTCCCTGGCGAGGCAGATCAGTCGCCGGCTTCTG